TTTGGGGTGGGACTTCCTGGACAGAAATTTGGAGAGGCATGTGACATTGGAAGAAAACTGGTCTGCGACATCTGAGAAACAAACGGGCTTGTCACCAGCCTCTATGACAACCGTGACCAGATTCTATCTCCTTGTCCCCTCTTTGGTCATAACGATCAGGAAGCCCCCTTTCAAAAAAGTTAATCCAGAGAGTCAGTGAAACGGAACAAAATTCAAGTCCAGTGGCACCTTTAAGCCCAACAAAGTTTTATTCAAGTTACAAGCTTCTGTGTGCATGCACACTTCCTCAGATTCACTGAAATGGAAGTTACCAGTCCATACATACAGGTAGAGGGTGAGCAGTAAATTAGCATACAGCATAATGAAGAACTTTAACAGATTCTAGAAGTAGCAGAATTGGACAATCTGACCTTGAAAATACGTGGAAAAGAAGATGGGACTTTTCAAAATATATGGCGAAAATTCTATGAGTGGTTGGACTCACATTCATAGAAGGTTCAAGCTTTCCTGTTGTAAAAAGGTAAAGGTAAAGGTTCCCTTGCTCGAAAGCCAGTCGAATCCGACTCTAGGGCTCGGTGCTCATCTCCGTTTCAAAGCCGAAGAGCCAGCGCTGTCCGAAGACGTTTCCGTGGTCATGTGGCCGGCATGACTAAACACCAAGGCGCACGGAACGTTGTCACCTTCCCACCGAAGCGGTACCTATTTATCTACTTGCAATTTCTTGCTTTCGAACTGCTAGGTTGGCAGGAGCTGGAACTAGAGATGGGAGCTCACTCCATCATGCGGCAACCCGGGTCTCGAACTGCTGAACTACTGGACCTTCCACAGCCTGCAGTTCAGTGTCTTAACCACTTGAGCCACCGCAGCTCCTGTTTCCTGTTGTACTTACAGTCAATAACTTATGTATACCCGGAGAAGGATCTTATTTTAATCAATTGTTTATCTGTTTGTTTGAGGTTTGTTGGTATTCAAAATAATAAAAATAAGGGCTTTGCCCATTAAAAAGAAGAAGTAGAAGAAGTTTAACAGATGTAAGGACCAAAGGGGAATAACAAGCTTAGTTGCATGTTGTATGCTAATTGCTGCCCACCCTCTGCCTATATGTATGGACTGGTAACTTCCACTTCAATGTATCTGAAGAAGTGTGCTTCACACAAAAGCTTATATCTTGAATTAAATTTTCTTGGTGTTAAAGGTACCCCTGGACTCAAACTTTGTTCTGCTGCTTCAGACCAACAGGGCTGCCCATTTGAATCTGTCCGAAAGTCAGTGGCAATTATGCAGACTGACTGTCTTTCCCCTGCAGTGTCTGCGTGTGGCTACTTCTGATGACCGGAGAAGTGGGCTCAGTAGCCCGCTTGCTTGATTAGGGTGGTCCAGATGTCACAAAATCTGAACGGCCCAGTCCACCAAGGCAGACCCCCCTGCAGAAGCTTAGCTGATGAGAATGGGAGCTACGCAAAACAAATCCATCGGGAGCACCTGGCGAGGAAGCAAGGTTAGGAGAAAGAGAAGAGAAACTAGAAAGGATCCAGGATTACGGGGGGGGGGGGTGAGAACCAAAACATGATGGTCGGCCCAGGAGCAATGGCCTTTTCTAAGCTGTGTAGTCTTGTGGGCGAAACGTCTACTTTGTGAGCTACTGGCATTAAAGCTGTGAGCGAGCCATTTGGCTGCGGCATAAATTAGTTAGCTCTGGAGCCCTCCTTCCTTGAGCTGAGACAAAAACGTGTGAGCCGGAGGCTAAAAAACGGCGAGCTAGCTCACACTGACTCAGCTTAGAGGGAACACTGCCAAGGAGTAGACACCGATTCAAACTTTCCCTTCAGTTCTTGGGCAGTCTGCGAGACGTGACTAAGAAGCGAAGTATGCAGCCTTCTGCCAACCACAGCACAATTGTTCAAAACAATCAGCAATCCGATCCAGTTCTGGTCCTTAAGTTGCGAATGGATTCATGCTTGGGGGCCCACTTCTGACCAGTATTGAGCCACCCTATTGACACTCCCCAGCCCAGAAAGGAATATTCTGTTCCTGCAAAGAGCCATTTGGGGGCCAAGTATAAACACCCACACACACACACAGAGGTGCCATCCGGAGGCTGTGGAAGGTCAGTAGTTCAGCAGTTCAAGAACCGGGTGCCGCATGACGGAGTGATCTCCCATCTCTAGTTCCAGCTCCTGCCAACCTAGCAGTTCGAAAGCAAGAAATTGCAAGTAGATAAATAGGTACCACTTCAGTGGGAAGGTAACAGCATTCCGTGCGCCTTGGTGTTTAGTCATGCCGGCCACATGACCACAGAAACGTCTTCGGACAGCGCTGGCTCTTCGGCTTAGAAATGGAACCCTAGAGTCGGATTCGACTGGCTTTCAAGCAAGGGAACCTTTACCAAACTTCTGAACACAAGTCTCCTTCTGAATCCTCATCAAAGGACCAGGACAGAGAGCCAGTAAATACCTTTAAAATGGTCCTTTGAAATATACACGAATCTGCCATATACTGTTTGAATCAGACCCTTGGTCCACCAAAGTCAGTATCCTCTACACAAATTGGCAGTGGCTCTCCCGAGTCTCAGGCAGAGGTCTTTCCCATCACTGGAGATGCCAGGGATCGAACCTGGGACCTTCTGCACGCCAAGCAGATGCTCTACCACTGAGCCACAGCCCCTCTCACCAGAAGTTCTGGGGGATAAAATACACCATGCCTGGAAGATTTCAGAAGAGGCACAAAGAACTGATCTCTATCCATTCTACGTCATTCCTAAACATGAGCCTCTTCCTTTTAATAATCGCGTGACACTTCACACGGATTGAAGTATACAACAGCCAGAGTTCTCACAATGCAAGCCGCTGCACGTTTGCTCAGAAGTAAGGCCCATTTTATCACTCCCAAGGATTGCAGATTGGATGAGAGGCGAGGAAAGGCCTTCTAGTGAGTTCACAAAGGAGGCGAAATTTGAACTCGGCTCTGCCTTCCACGCTGCCTTGAGACTGCGCAAGCTTACACAGTGCTTCCATAATCTTGTCCACCTCTGGAAAGAATGGGGCTCTAATTTCCACAGACTTCTGCGAAGAACTGACCCCTCGAGGCTGAGAAAAATCTTGTTGGGGTGTAATTCCTCCATCCCACAGTAGTGCAAAAAACACCCCCATCCTCCCTGTGCCAGCAAACCATGCCCCTTCTCAGAAGGCATGAGAGTCACTTACCAGCAAGAAATGGAGGCCCCTCAGCTTAGCGGTGCCACGCACAAGTGAGGAGGCCCAAGGAAGGAGCGTGCAAACACACACACATGGCCAGCGGGAAAGAAGAGGCCCAAGGAGCAGAAAGGAATTCCCAGAAGGGCTGCCGGGTGGCCTTTGCTTTGAGGGGCGCCTCCCGGCTCATTCACAGAGCTGAAAGTGACCAGTCAGCTGTGCCAAATCCAGGCTGCCCGCCCACTCCACCATTTGCACGCTCCCCAACGGCTGCAAGAAGTGACAATCGCATTTTTTTTAAAAAAACAACACAGCGATATGCAAACCAAACAGCCCGCCATCCAAGAGATGGATCCTTTGCAGATAACGCCCCAGGTGCAACGTACCCATCGGGGCCAGATCCTGGGTACGCCCAACCACCCCCACCCCTAAAGAAGGAGGTGCTGCCAAAACACCCCAAGCCAGCTCTGTGTGCCACAAAGACAGTGGTGTGCACACCACAGAAACCTCCCCCTGCAGAGCGGGGCCCTTCAGATCGCTTGAGTGAGCGAGCCAAGCCACGCAGACTCAAAGAAAGCAGGCGAAAACCCTGAGCAAGCAGGGCAAGATGGTGCCAGCTCCTAAGCAGGAGCAAAGGATCCATCCACGGGGAAACACTCCCCACAATCACGTGTGTTTGTGTGTCAGCAACTCCACGCAGCTGAGATAATTGGGCAGTCTGGCATGGCACAGCATGAGAGCAGTCGGGGGAAGGTTTCCCCAGGGCTACCGAATCGGTCCCGCGCCTCTCGCACACGAGAAAAACAAGAGAATCAACCAAGTCGCTCCGGCCGACCAGGGAAGGCGATTCGCTCTGGCAACCCTTCCAAGGGAGGCCGCACCCTCCAGAGCCTGCTCTTACACCACCACCACCCTGCTCCTTTGACCAGAAAAGCCTCGCTGCAAAGGCCTGGTCCAGGAACTGGAAAGGTAGCGGGTGCCATTTCGAGGCAAACCCAAGGCTAAGCGTCCAGACAGGCCCCCAAAGAGACATTTGCATTGCAGAAAGGAATTGGGGGGGGGAGAGAAATCCCCCACCCCCTCGGAGCATTTTGAAACCAGGTCCTGCATTGTCAGGATCCACTCTCAAACTGTTAGGGGGGGTGTTTAGGATGGACAGCTTCAAGAGGGAATTAGATAAGCATATGGAGCAGAGGTCCATCAGTGGCTATCAGCCACAAGGTACAGATAGGAACTCTCAGTCTGGGGCAAGGGATGCTGTGTCTTCTTGGTGCTTGGAGGGGGGGGCAACAGTGGGAGGGCTTCTAATGTCCTGGCCCCACTGCTGGACCTCCTGATGGCACCTGGTATTATTGGCCACTGTGTGACAGAGTGTTGGACTGGATGGGCCACTGGCCTGATCCAACATTGGCTTCTCTTATGTTCTTATGGATAAGCATATGGAGCAGAGGTCCATCAGGGGCTATTAGCCACAAGGTATAGATAGGAACTCTCCGTCTGGGGCCAGGGATGCTCTGTATTCTTGGTGCTTGGGGGGGGGAGCAACAGTGGGAGGGCTTCTAGTGTCCTGGCCCCACTGCTGGACCTCCTGATGGCACCTGGTGCTTTTTGGGCACTGTGTGACCCAGAGTATTGGACCGGTTGGGCCATTGGCCTGATCCAACATTGGCTTCTCTGATGTTCTTATGGGGTGAGGTTTCCTGCCTTCATCCTCCTCCCCCTGCCCCCTTTCCATGGCACTGCCAAGGAGCTTGGAAAAGCCCGTTCCCCAGAGAGAGGGACCTCCCCTCCCCTCTCCCCCCCCCTTACCTGCAAGTGTAGCTCAGGTTCCTCCGGATGCTCCTCTTGAAGAAGCTCTTGCAGCCCTCGCAGGTGAAGACGCCGTAATGCTTCCCGCTGGACTTGTCGCCGCAGACCACGCAGTCCACCTGGAGGCCGGCCTTGTCCTCGTCGCCGGGCTCCTGGTCGCTGGTGCCGCCCTGGGGGGACGCGGAGTCGTCTTCGGAGTTGCGGGGGTAGCCCTTCTCCACCCCGTTGGCGTCTCCGTTCGGGTCTCCCCAGCCCCCGGTCACCATGGCCATAGCGCCTCGGGCGCAACCGGGGGGGGGGAGGGGGGGCGCGCTTCAAATCGCTGCTCTTTAAGGCGTCCGGCGAGGGGGGGTCGTCGTCTGCTGCTTTTTTTTTTTTAAGATCCGCCCCCACCCCGGAGCCAACCCAACTCGAGGGAACCGAGCAACGCGGGAGGAGGAGGCCAGGAGGGGAGGCGAGCGGAAGAGGCGACCC